CTCCCAATCAAGACTACATTTCTAGGTATTCCACCTGCCCCTATCTTCCTTTCCTTCCCAGTTTCCTCCTCCTGTTCTCCCTTTTCTCTCTCTCTCTCACTCACTCACTCACTCACTCACTCTCTTTCTTATATTGCCACCAAACCAAGCTATTCCAACCAGCATGCATTAAAATATGCATCTTCTCAGCCACCGGGAGTTGGGGACCCCTGTTCTAGGTGACAGCCAGCACCTTGAACTGGGCCAGGAAGCTTTTGCAGCATAGATGATACCCGACTGGCTAATGCGGTCAGTAGGTGAGCAGCTACATTCTGTGCCAATTGCAACTTATGAGCCATCCTCAAGGGTAACCTCACACAGAGCTAAATGCAATCCTGGTGAGAAAGATGGCAAAAGACAGGAGGCATCTACTGTTAGTTTGTTTTTAATTTCCATTGCCAGCCTTTTTAAACCAGGCAATAGCAATTTTTTACTTCTGTCCATTTTAATGGAGCAATAAGATGGTCATACTAATAGGACTTCTTAGAAAAGCCAAATGTGGTTTGAATGTCAGGTCCCTGGGGGGGGGGGGGGGGGCTTTGGACCTGGATATACTGATACAGTCTTAGCATCACCACTGGTTACAAAATGTAATTTATCTGAAGCTAAATGATAGATCAAAGAAGTGTTTCTCAATCTAGACATCTGGACTTCAACTTCCAGAATTTCCTAGGAGCATGGGGAATTAAAATACTGCCACCTAGCATGGCTGGCTAGGGAATTCTGGGAATTGAAATCCAGATGTTTTAAAGTTGCCAAGATTAGGAAACACTGGATCAAAGTGAGATCCCATTCTGCTTTATTGCCTTTCCCTCCTTCTCAGCAAATATGGCAGATCTGCATCTACAGAGCCATGCCCATTCATAACTGCTACCTTAATGGGGAAGTAGTTTGGGTAATGAAATGTCTGCAACAAAACAACCAAGCTTAGAGAGCACCAAACATCCCTTAGAAAACAAAAAGACCCAAACACTTCCCCATCAGCAATCAACACCCAGAAAAGCAGAGCTTAACACCTAAATTAATACTAGACCAACAATCAAGAAGTAAACAATACCCCAAATTAAGGAACTACCAACTCAGACAAACAAGCTAACAGTAAACAACAGTCTAAACAAGGAACCACCAAGAACACTCCCACCAACACTGACAGGGCAAGCCACATATATGAAAAAAGGCAAACTCCAGTCCCTTCTAGCACTGATGATGTTATCTAGTTTGGTAATGAAACAGCTGCAAGAAAACAATCAAGCTCAAAGAATACCGAAGACCCCCTATGTCGGAATGTTTGAAGAGGATGGAATGCCAAAATAAGGAGTCTCCACTGAGTTATTTATTTTTATTATTAAAATTTGCCACCCATCTCATGTCCAACGACTCTGGGTGGCTTACAACATAAATTGATAGTGTGACTTCAGTGGAAGAGACTGCATCTAAAGGGAACTTTGGGGAAAACTGGGAAGTTTCAAACAAGCTTTATAATATTGTTTTGGATTTGAATGAGAAACTATTGAGGAAGCTAAGAGAACAAATTGCTAAAATTATTCAGCTGTAAAATAATCAGGTCATGAATTACTTGGCTTTCTACTTCAGAACTGGCCAAACTGCATGTAAATTGCAATACCCCCACCATGCAATGAATGGATTCATAGTGAGTTTATCTTCCACACCCGCCCTCCGGTAACCACTTAAGATATAAACAGCTGATAGCCTTGGAAATAAAAGGGAGAAATAGCCAATGAAGAGACAGGAGAAGCTGGATGAAAAAACAATTTCTGCTTGGTCCATGTGGAACTTTAGTTGGTGTGATTATACTGAAATTGAGATCCCTGCAAGACAATCTGACAAAGAGCTATAGACAAAGTATGTACCATGGTGTTGTTGGCATAAATTTGACACTGAAATGGAATGAATGGAATGAAATTCAAGAACCAAGGAGGTCAGTATAAAAAGTGAAAGGGTGAATGAAATTCCAAAGAGCACCAACAGGTAACAAAGAAGGAATAGAAATTCCAATCAACAAAAAAGTAGACCAAGAGATAAGACTGAACTCAGGAAAGTGCTATGGCACTAGCACCAGGGTGAATTATTTTGTAGCTATTTTTATCCCTGGGCTGGTTAACTTTTTTTGTGGAATGGGGTAACATCCAAACTGAATAAATAGCATTTACCACTTAGACTTATATCCGTTTCACAGTACTTTACAGCCCTCTGTAAGCGGCTTACAGAATCAGCATATTGCCCCCAACTATCTGGGTCCTCATTTTACTGACCTTGAAAGGATGGAAGGCTGAGTCAACCATGAGCCAACCGGTCAGGATGAAACTGCTGGCAGTTGGCAGAGTTAGCCTGCAATACTGCTTTGTATCCACTGTGCCACCATGGTTCTTCTAAATAAATGTGAGACCTCAAAATTTGGTAGTCCCATGTGTGAAAAGATCTAAAAGAGCAAGAAAGGTGACAAATAATTGATCTAGGCTACAAAAAGATCATTTAAAACACATTATTACAGATTCAGTTGAATGGGCCATATGAAAATGTTGCCATGGGAGCAAAGTTGCAATGGAAAGAAAAAATGTTGCAAAGGGACCTCTATTGAAATGTAGCAATTGTAAGTCTTTCAGATATATTGGACTGCCACTCACCTCAAATCTAAGCCTCATGGTTAAGAATTTTTTGACTTGTACTTGATGCAGTATATCTGAAGAGTACCATATTGATCTTCCCTAAAGGATTTTTGCTCATTTTGGAACAATTCCTATGACCCAGCTAATTATTTGGGAAAGTTCCCTATCTCACCAGAAAAAACCATGGAGAGAGAGGAAAGCAAGCAATGTAATATGAAAATTCCATCTGTACCATCCTTAAATAATACATATATTGGGTAGAGCTTCACAGCTCTTTGTGAAGAATGCATTGGTTTATTCCAGCTTTACTTCTAATTGGTGCTCTTATGAAAGTCTCCCAGGGAGTATTTAAGCCTTGTTACTATAAATCTCCTAGACTGCTCAGATTTTCAGATTCTCAGTCTTTCTTTGTTATTATTTTTGAGCGCTTTACTTATGTGGTTGACATGAATCAGTTGAAGGTTGGAGAGAAGACCAAATAACTGAGAAATGCTTCTGATGTTGATGAAGAATAGGTTTAAATCTTTACATTTTCTCCTTTTAAGGCAGTTTTCATCAACCTAGTATTCTCCCTATTACAGGATTTCAAGTCCCATAATTCTCCAGTCAACAGTTTAATTCCCAAGGGAATTAAACTTAACCAGATTTGGGGTGACTTTATTAGGAATACCAGAACTGGACAGAAATACAAAAACTTGGCACCAAGTTATCTTCACAACCACATTCTCCCACTAGAATCAGCCTGATTTCCCAGTCTTTCTGGGAAAATTCATGGCTACCAACCTACCATTTTTGGTACATTTTGTGTGTGTGGGGGGGTGTGATGCTCAGATATGCTTCTTTTGTGTAGCAATGCCAGGCTTTTGAAACTGCCTCCTAGTAGAAATTAGCCCAGCTCTATCATTTCTTTCTAGAAACAGCTGAGAAATGGAATTATTCTGGAAGCATTTGGGGTACAAAGGTTTCTTGAGTGAGTTTTTTTAAATTGATGGCTCTTGGTATATTGTCAGCCCTTCAAGGTAGTCCCGACAAGGAAACCAAAACCAAGAATATTGGCATCTATATAAATTTTATAAATAAATAAACAAACTGCTTGCCATTAAATGTATCAGGAAAATGCTCAGACTGACACTCATAAGCCCAAAATGAAGGAGCTATGGCAATGCTCATTTCTGTTGTCACATAATTGCTCTGACTTCTATATACCTGAGAATTCTGAGCTAGCTAGGATGGAGGTGATGATCTGTATTTTGTATAGCATTTCCTTTAAATAAATTGGAGGCTGGACATACATGATAAGGATTTTGGCATTGCTAAACCAAGTCAGGTCTTACTGCTGAGAGTCACTAATCAACATGCTCTATGCTTCTATTGAAAGGTCTGGTACTTCACCTTCTGAGGAAATGTGGAGGTGGGATGATCAGCCTGGGTTCCCAGACCACATAGTGGTATCACATCCATTTATGGTAGCCTCCTCATCCTATAAGCATGACTGCAAAAATTAATGGTTGCATTTTTAAAGCAAGGAAGAAAGGTTTTCCTAAAATCTAGACAAAAACCAAAAAAAATTCAACCCAATTCACAGAAATGACACAGGAATCTTGCTTAACATTATCACTTCTTCTACTGCAGCCCTTCCTCCTTATACTTCAAATGACCTAGGAAATGTTTTATAATCAGTTGAGTAATTAATTTTACATGGTGGGTAACAGATTATGACACACATCCTGTATCAGTTATACTGATTATGTAAGTTATTCCAAACTGAGGCAGGCCAGCCCTGCTGCATTTTGGAAGTGCGTTTTGAACAGAAGAGTCATTCTACAAAATTTCTGCTTCGGTCCTACCCTGATAACAACAATAACACTGCTCACATAGGAGAAAAGAATGAAATAGCACATGATGGATTAAATGTCAGATAATGTCTCATGCGTATGTGCTGAGATATGAGATGTGTTGTAGGAAACAGCACCATTTAAGTACAAACACGTACTGAGTAAGGAACAAGGACAGTTGAGGAAGGCTTTGCAATAAACCAGTGAAACTGACCAAGCCATTTTGAAGATGGCTAGTCAGTGTTAATCAGAGTTTTTGTGGAGTTATGAATAAAGAGTGATTCCTGTTCCTGCAGCCTCCAGCTGTTCTACAATTAAAAAAAGTTCTTTCCCACTGGAAATTCAGCGTTATCTCTCCCTTTCATTATGTGGATGGAATACAACTACAGATGGCTAGTATTAGTACCACCATAATGCAAGCCTGCTAGAAAGTGCACTTCATCTGAAAATGTTATTTTGCCCCAAGGCAAGCACTAATCAGAGACAGGACTCGGAAACAGAGAAGAAACATCAGCTGTTTATTGTATCAAGAGATATACAGCTGGTACAGCCACATCCTGTCTTTAACAAATTGTTTAAATCTAAGAAGGCTGAGTTATATGATGAGTGGGTGGTTACATAAATCGGTTAAAAAAATACATAAAGATCAGGCTAGTCTCTTGTCTCTTGACCACTTTGCTACTGATTTCTTGATATTTAAGTAAAATAACTGCATTCCTTAAATGATTCCAAACATCATATATGGAGATACTGGCAATGGCTCTCTGCTAAAGTTATTTGCTTAATCTTAATATGATAAAATGCATTTGATGAATAATTGCTTCAGGGAGATTTGTTTTATAGTTCAATGTGTAGCTTTCTATCAGCCTTGACATTTCCATAATAACAAAATCCTTGAGCATCCAAGTTCAGAGACAAGTTTTATCACTTTTGAGGGCACAATAATAAAATCTGATATACGTTTAGAAACTTTGAAGCCAAATATTTTCTTAACATGGAAAACAGGCCTCTCAGCTAAGGCACATAGATGCTAATGAGCTAAATATCACTCTAAACCCTTTCAGGTTTTTTTTGGGGGGGATCCATTAGTTTAGGAGTGATGAAAGGCCAAGTTGATCACCTCCCATTCTCAAAAGCCTTTGTCAAGAAAGGCTGTTATTTGATTCCTGAGGTTACTATACCAGAATTAGCACAATATACAATTACATAAAAAAACTTTTCTACTTCTGCTAAGACTCATTAATACAGATTAAATTATGAAATATAAGGTGTGTGACAGAATTCTGAGACGACAGAAAAAAACAAAATGCAACCACACTATCCTTAAACCCACACTACAACTATAAGGTATTCCAAAGCCTTAGGACATATATTAAATGTAACTTTATGAAATAAAAACAAACAACAATAAAGAGGCAATATGTAGTTTTAAAAAGTCTTTTTAAAAACAGATTCCCCTAAAAAAACAGCTAATGAGAGGCTGCTGCATGAGAAACAGTCTTTCATCCACTTAAAATGTCATTTTAGAAAATATATTTGTGGGTAGGAGATTATCTGCTGTAGGAAGCAGCTCGCCTGTAAAAGCAGTGAAACGATACTCCTTGTGAAGGTCCTTCTTCAGTTCAGCAAGCTCCTCCTCAAAATGCTCAACCTGTGGTGGCAAAGATTCAGATATGAATAAAGAACCCGCATACAGCACCACATACAATGATCAACTTAACATGAGCTGAAGAAGTTTCTTGGATGAGAAAGAAGCTTCAAAGAAAAACAAGAAAGCCCAGTTGCCTCGTGGGGAAAAGCATCTTTGGGATAACTGTGGCCTGGATGACTGAGAGACATTTAGCTATGACCATGCTATTTTCAGTTGTGCCTCAAACAATACTATGCAGTTGCAAACTTGGAGAGCTAAACCTGGCTGTCTGCCATTGTCGTGTCAGCATGAAATAATGGATCCTGAATTGCCTTTGGCTAAGAAAACTTCAATGATGAATTCTGCTCAGTATTGTGGCTAATATCTATTCTATTTATTTATTGTGGCCAATATCTATTCTACTGTATATCTAGATCTCATGGAGTGGAATGCAGTGTATCTCTAGGGTGAAGAAATAATAAAATGCAAGCATTAAGAGCTGCCCTGCATTTCCTGCTTGCCCCGACATGAAGATAACCATTAACTGTTGAGAACATGAATACACAACGATGTGCCCAACCCATCCTGACCCACCACAAAGGCAGCCTCCACCTGTTATTTTTTTCTTCAACTTTAATTATAATGTATTTCTACTTCTCTGTTAGCACAAGCATGCCGAGTCAGATGTTCCTGCATCCTCCGGGTCTCTAGCCACTGATTTCCTTCCCAGCTGGATGGAAGAATGGGCACCGGCATACCTCTGGACATGACTTTGGATCTGCAACCCTAAAACTTTGGGGTGTAATGTTGTGTGAGCTTTTCTGCAGGACAGGGGCATGCGCCTCCCAGCTGTCTTCAACGCTGCAATGCCAAATCTGTAGCGGAGGTGGATTTTAAATGTATCTGCGATGCTGGAATTATCTTTAGACACTTTCTCCACCTCCCTGCCCCCATGCCAGTACCTTTTTTAAAACTACAATATATTTTAAGCTGCCAGAAGAGACTCTGCTCTCTGAATTCCTCCAAGTGTGTGTATAAGGACAGGGACACTTCCTCTGGCTTCACAAGGCAGCCAGGAGGGATGGCTGTGAAGCCTGCAGTCCTGCAGCAAAGAGTGAGAACACCTATTTCACTTGCTGTTTTCTTCCTGTTTCAAAGCCATCAGCGTCAGGCAGAGGGGGAAGAAAGGGGCGACAAGATCTCTTCTCCCCTGTTTCTGTTCTTTTGAGTAAAAGGAGAAACAGGAGAGAGATAATGGGGGAAAGGAAGCAATGAAGACTGGCCCCTTTGCTATCGATTCACTGGTCTTTACTTGTAGGGTTGAAGACCACCATTTAATCTTCTGCTGGCTGTGACTGGAACTAAAGGAGACATTCAGAGCCCACCTCTTCTCTCCTCTGAACTCTCAGTGTGGCCAAAAGCCCCATTCTGTTTCATTGCCAAGGCAGAACAGAGGGCCAAAGTACCGTCAGGACGTGGCTGGGTACTTTTGTGCAGGACAGCCTTCCGTGTAATAATGGCCATTATTGCTTTGATTGTACCACCATGAGTTCCCAAATTCCATGGCAAGTAAAATTAATCATATGCTTAAACTGCAGCAAAGATAGGATATTTATGTTTATTGGGGCAAATTCCAGAATATGGGTACCATAGCCAAATATGGGAAAGTTACTTTATTAAGATAGTTTCCTAGGATCAAATGCCATTGAACTTTTTAATAGCTTGGATTGTGCGGTTAGTTTCTTGCAGCACGAACAGCTTAGATTCCAGTAATATTTCAAAGATAATTAGATTTATTGGACCATGAACTTCCTTGGTTACTAGTACAGCCACGGAAATGTTAAACGCAGTTGTTGTCAAATGGGGCTTAATCTAACACAGTGGTTCTCAACCTGTGGGTCGGGACCCCATTTGGGGTCGAATGACCATTTCACGGGGGTCGCCAAACAACGCAGTCCGCCATTTTTTCCCCCTTTTCCTTAGCTGTGCTACTCCCTTTTATTCTATTGGCTTTTGAAAGCCAATAGAATAGACTCTCTTGAATAGAGTCTAATTCTATTGGCTTTCAAAAGCCAATAGGAATTGTCCAGGCTGTCTCTGCCCTGCTGAGCCCGCCAAAAGTCCCATTCTGCAAACGGTGCTGCACCAGTTGAGTAGTCCTCAACTTACGACTGGTTGAGTAGTCCTCGACTTACGACCGGTTGGGGGTCACGGCATTAAAAAGGTTGAGAACCACTGATCTAACAGCTCTTGCAGCAACAGCAACAATTGCCCTGCTTCTATTGTAGTTCTACTCTGTTCACTTTATTTGAATGTAACTCTTACTGGGTTCAACAGGATATATTTCCATATTAAAGTGCATATGATCAAAATGTTAGTTTAGCATAATTTTAGGATTTGCAAGGCCATAATTCAGTAACAAAACTGGTTTTACCTCTGGCGTTTCTTGACAGGGCTTAAAAAAAATCTAGTCTACTGTTAATACTTGATAATAGTAGGCTTAGTTGACCAATGATCTAAATCAGTGACAATCATTCTGTTATAAAATGGAATTATATTTATATAAAATTATAATTCTTAACCACCTATGGGTAATCCTCGCTTAATGACTGGTCACTTAGATCACCCCAGAGCTACTTTCAAAGTTACAACGGCTGCAACATCCTACAGCCACACCACGCACTTTGGTTGTTTAGCAACAGGATCAGGTTTATGGCTGATTGCAGCCCCCTGCACCCATGTGACCGTGATTTCAGTGGTTTTTGTATTTACTTCCAGTTTTTGCCAAAAAATTCCCATTTGGGAAAACAGGTTCGCTTAGAGACCATGGCGTTCATTTAGCAGTTGCCGCAAAAAAGGACATAAAACCAGGCACAGTCATGTGATGACCCATTTAACGACCACCGTGAATTATGACCATAATTCAATTGCAGTCATAAGTTGAGGGCTGCCTATACCAGGGGTCCTCAATCTTGGCAACTTTAAGACTTGTGGACTTCAACTCCCAGAATTCCTCAGCCAGCTTTGCTGGCTGAGGAATTCTGGGAGTTGAAGTCCACAAGTCTTAAAGTTGCCAAGGTTGAGGACCCCGGCTTATACCATATCATTTTTTTAATACTGAAGAACATTTTTTAAATCAACCAGTGAAGCAGTGAGATGGAACTTATTTCTCTTTTTCCACCTGTCATTAGCAAATCACAAGACCATTTCCCAAGTCTGGGATTTTAAAAAAAAAAGCCTTAAAGTGCTTTTTTAATGAATTTTTTTGTTCAGTTATATATAGAACAATCCGACTACTTTGAACCGTATGGAGTTTCACATACTAGAGGTAATCCTTGATTTACGACCACAATCAGACCAGAATTTTTGTTGCCAAGCAAGATACCTGTTAAATGAGTTGTGCCTGATTTTACGACCTTTATTGCCACAAATGTTCAGTGAATCATATGGTTGTTAAGCAAATCCAGTTTCCCCAATTCGTTTTGCTTGTTGAAAGCCAGCTGGGAAAGCTGCCAATGGGCCTGGGACCACTGCAACTGTGATATATGTCTTTCAATTGAGAAGCACCCAAATTTTGATCACATGACTGTGGAGATGATGCAAAGGTCATAAGGGTGAGGACTGGTCATCACTTTTTTCCATTCCTTTATAACAGTTCATTGGTCAATAAACATAAATGATTGTAAGTACCTGTATTTGTCACCATGTTAGAGTGATATCTTGCACGAGCTTTAGTCCTGTTTCTCTATATTTCCAGTTTTAGTATACTGTCAGTTCTAAAAATGATTTTTCTTTAGAAGGGTAAACATAATGCAGGTAGTCCTCCTCTTAGAACCATTCATTTAGTGACCATTTAAAGTCACAACGGCACTGAAAGAAGCGATTTATGACCGTTTTTCACACCAATGACCATGGTAGTATCCCTGTGGTCACATGATCAAAATTCACATAAATACAACTGGCATGTATTTATGACGGCTGCAGTGTCCCTGGTTCATGAGATCCCCTTTTGTGACCTGACAAGTGAAGTCAAGGGGGAAACCAGATTCACTTAACAACCATGTTGCTAACTTAACAACTGCAGGGATTTGCTTACCTGTGGCAAAAAAGGTTGTAAAATGGGGCAAAATTCACTTAACAACTGTCTTACTTGGCAATGAAAATGCTGGGCTCAATTGTGCTTATAAGTCAAGGATTAATTGCATGCATAGGTTTCATGACATATAATATTAATGTAATATATACGTATTTTCCGGCGTATAAGACGACTTTCTAAAGCATGCAAATCGGCTCCAAAGTCAGAGGTCGTCTTATACGCCGAGTCGTCTTATATGCCGGAAATTACGGTAGTTTACGGCGTATAAGATGACTTTGTAAGCATGCAAATCGGCTCTGAAGTTGGGGGTTGTCTTATTTGCTGAGTCGTCTTATACGCCGGAAAATACGGTAATATATATATAAAATTTCTATTGATATTTAAAAAAAACCCTACTTGAAATGTTTATTTTATTCATTCATTCCCAAACCATCATAATAAAAATTCTTTGTCTCATTTCAACTAAAGTGATGCTTCTTCATTTATTTTTCATTCATGTTGCTTTTTCTGCCCATCCTACAAACCAACTGCATTTATTTGAATTAGTTAAGGACTGCTTTAGAATCTTGATTTAGATGCAAATCAAAGGTCTGTCAAAATAGTTTATGATACAGTTTGCAATCAAGAGGAGAAGGGATTGGAAAACACCAAGGGAAAGAAGTGAGTGAGCACAAATCACATTCAGTCCCAGCATTTAGAAATGGTATATGTCACGGGTGTCAAACTCGATCGCGTCACGTGACATATTGCAATGTTTTCTGCTTTTGCCGAGCTGGGGTGGGCGTGGCCTGCATGTGACGCATCCGGCTCTTGAGCCGCCAGTTTGACACCCTCGTTTATATGAACTAATCCTAATTTCAAAGGGAATAAATGCAGCCTACAATTTCAAAGCCTTTGATTTGTTTTCTAAATGCAAACCTACAGTTTCAAGGTCTTGATTTGCTTTTTCCATATCTTCTTTGGGTAGTCCTCTTAACTTTTTTCTTCTTTCTTTCATTAATTGTGTGTGTTGTTTAATGCGATTTTCTACTTCTTTGTATTTTGCAGTTCTGAAAGAAGCAGAATCAACTTTTTTTCAATCTGTCTCATTTTCATGGATAGATCTGCTTAGGAATTACATATCTAATAAATACTATTACAGCGATTAAAAAGCCATGACAATATAGAAAGAATAACATTTTAAAAGACTTGAAGCTTCTGAGGGTGTGCATATTTGGGATATATATATGTGTCTAAAGCTACAGGATTAAATAAAACTGGGGAATTTTTAATCTGCTTGTCGTAGTATACAAAAAGTTAAGATGCAATCTTGCTTAGAAATAATCTTTTTATAAACTCAGTTCGAATTTAGTAAACACAGAATTATACCCTTTTCTTTTCCTTTCCCCCTTCCTATCTCCTTCACCGCCCCATCCTGGTATCCTTTCCCATAATCCATCAGGGAAAGATGTAAATAAAAATGGATCTTGATTCTTAACCTATCTTTGAAAAAAATATACAACAGAATAGAAACCAGCCTACTAACGTGGACAATAAACACTGTAAAACATTATGCATTTATATAGATGAGCCCATCTGTATTCAGGTTTGGTCCTAAACATTTAACAAATAGCAAGTTATGCTCCTAGCCCTGAGGAAGTACATAATACCTATAGTTGATCAAATTTCTTAGCACTAGAAACAGAAGATCTGCTGAACATCTCGGCCCCATCCTGGCAGTAAAAATACTACTACAGCATTAAATAATGTTCAATTTGGAGTCTTTTCTTAACAGCCTCATTCAGCTTAATGATAGGGCTGGCTTTGTGAGCAGTTTTCAGAACAGAATATGATAGAATAAATATCTTTGGGTGTATGCAGTCAGAGAGAAGAATGTCCTAATAGCAATGGCATCATTTTGACCACTACCTTGGCTCTGATTATCCATTCTGTGCATCTGTTTTTATAAAAGGGCAAGGAACTTCTAATATTAGAATATTAATTCATATTTTAGATACATATCCAGAAAAACACATCAGCAGCAGTGGTTTTTCTCAATATGGAACAAAAATAGATCCAATTTTTCCAGCAACTTTTGGCTAATATGAATTTCTTTGGGTTTTTTTTTTAAATCATGTTGCGGTGTGGTTTTGAACTGATGATACTTCTTTGTTCTGCTTATGGCCTGGTTCTCTATCAAAACAATAGAAATCCTGACCAATATTATTCCACAAGGTTATGGTTTAATTTTACATTTAATACTGTACTTAGAAAACAGATCTTCCCTTCCCTTCATTTTTTTTTGCTATGTTTATCTGCTCTCTTACTTTTTTTCTACATTAAAGAAATTAAAAAGAAAATGATATAGTTTGAAATGCTAATGTTTCCAAATGAGGCATGTGTTCCACCAATGCCCTTTTTTGGCCAGGAGGATGACTTGGATGGCTTTTCATGCATCCAGAGTTCTTGTGACAATAATTCCTTTTAATGTAATCTCTAGAGGACATACAGAGGTAATTAGGCAACAGGGCCATTGGTACCATCTGGGGCTCTCTTGTCCTTGGCAGTCTTAAAGCCACCTGGTCTTTCTGATTTTTCTGAGAAAAAAAAAAACAAATATCACTACACTTAGGCATAAAGCCATCATACATCCTTGTAGTGTCAGCCTGTGGTTTTGATTTTGACTTAAAAACTCATAATGATAAGAAGGGCAGAATGATTCACCAAGTACTATTCTGTTTGCTATCCTATATTGAAAGTTAGATTCTAACATTATTTACTTTTCATTTGAAGGTTTTTGTTAGATATATAGCCTGGTGGTGTACATAAAATAAAATCCTCTTTAATTTTGCTCCACAATAACTTTGTGAGCTAGGATGTCTGAAGTCACCCAGTGAGCTTCCATGATTAAGAACTTGTTTTCCATTACTAGTCTAATATTTTAACCTCTGCATGACACATTTCACATGGGCTTTCTCTTTATATTAACTTTTATTCCAGCCCATCTTATTTGCCACTAGGTAGCATGTATTGTTTCTATGCCTTTTTCTTGCATGTATTTTCAAATGAAAAACAAACATATATTTGCATACAAAGATAATATCTGAAGACTTCTTCTGAAATCAGAGTTTGGTTTATTATAGCAATGCTTCTCCGTTCAGACATAATTATTGAAAAAAAACGCAAAATATTTCAAACGCTGAAACTTTTGGAAATGCAGAAGTAATATCTATTCTAACTGTATGCAAAAAAGGCATGTGCTATTATTTTAGAGAACAATAGAATACGGTATTAACACATTGCTTGTTCTCTCTGATCATTGTGTTATCAACTGCTATCAGCTAAGAAAAAGATTGTTTAAGCTGATTAAGCACACAGCATCTGTCTCCTGTCTTCAAGCTTTAAAGCAATTAAAAATGATTTTCCTCTGAAGTCCCTAGTTAGGAACATGAAGTTTCCACAAAACAACTTATAGAGCAAAATCCAGGAAGAAGAAAAGTTATATTAGACTGGTGTGGCAAGATCGTATTTAAACATTAAAACAATACTTTTACAGACTGTATACACAAACAAGTACAAAAGAAAAGGAAAAGAAAAACAATAGTTAACAAAAGATCATAATTTGCCAAAAGGTCAGCTTATAACATTTCTAAGCATAGCTTAACTGTATGCAAGCTCAACTACCGTATATAACACCAGGAACAGATAGTCACTCTTTAATTTGTGTACATTAAGACTTTCACAAAATTGCCATAGAGAGCAGTGCTTCTCAGGTGTTATTGCTGCATTTCACTTCAACACTTGGAGGACATGTGTATCAGCTGCCCTCTCTCAAATGCATTGAAGATGTCAGTGAAGAGACACACAAATGCATACACATTTCCATAAGGAGCTGGAGCTTCCATTATAAGATTATCGTCTCATGTGGAAGCAAGGGCAGTAGAACTAGATTTCTCACTGCAAACAATTGAGCTCTATGCAGGGAGACCATCTGTTCACTTATGTCATCATCATGACTAAGAGCAGGGAAAATATATTGCTCCTTAAATATTGAATTATATTTGTTTCATGTCTTGGACTGTGAACCCCACTGATTACATTTTCTTCTGTGATTATGTCTGCATGTTTGCAAGTATGTAGCACAATTTATCTGATAAAGTAGTATGAGATAATGAAAACATATTCCCAATAAAGATTAGTCCTTAGTGGAAATAGGAATCCATGGCCCTAAAGATGTTACTGAACTACAACCTCCATTAACTTCATTTTTGCGACTGAAGCTGTAGGGAACTATAGTTCAGCAGCATCTGAAAAATCATAGTTTTTCCATTCTTCCTCTAAGTTTAAGGTATCACAATTCTACTTACTGACACTATCTTTTCTCTGCAAAGTTCAAATGCTTTTTGAAGCTGTACTTCATAAATGGCCCAATATAAACTAAGCTTTAGGATTAAAATAATGGTTCTTGGCTTGTGTGTTTTTTCCTCCTATGAAACATCATTGAATTGAGAAGCTTTTGTTTCCATTTTCAGTTAATCACAGCTTTCTGTGTTTTCTCAATTAAATTATTAGTTCAAATTCTATCCCATCTTTCTACAGGTAGGAATTGGAAAAACTAAACTTTGAATTAAATGATGGACTCTGAACTATAGTATAAGACAGTGTTTGTCAACCTTGGCAATTTTCAGATCTGTGGAATTCTGGCAGTTGAAGTCCACAGATCGGAAAGTTGCCAAAATTGAAAAATGCTGGTATAAGGGATTAGCTTGTTTAAATGCACAATTGTTTAGCCAAAGTTTGGCTAATCTATGATTAATTAAAGAGGCAAAACAGCCTTCTGATTTTTCTGCAGCTGAGATGAAGGACAAAGTGTAACGGTGTGCAACCTATCCACAGTATATGAAATAATGAGTGGACATTTGGGTACAGAAGAATGAGTGCTATGTAATTTGGTCTGAGCTCTTAGGAGAAAGGTAGGATGCAAACACACCATAAATACTAGAATACTAATTTGTTTCTAAGTAGAAACATGGAAGATGGATGTATTTGTTCATTCTCTTTCCCTTTTAAACTTTTAAACAGTGTTAGTCAACAGAAAAGAGTCCTATCTTTTTTTTTTCAGAACTGACATGCTGCATAGTACTAATGAATGACTACAACAAACTAGTTTGACTTAAACTGGAGGAATCTTGGCTCAAATCTCTGGTCATTGACAAACATACCTGTGGAATAAATTGAAAGGTGAGAGGAAACAAATCACTATAATGTAATCATTATATATTTCTTGGAGGACAGATGAGACAGAATTGCAATAGTTTCTTCACCCAGAAGAAAGGTATTTCCTATTTGTTTGGGTCCCCTCTCCACACAACTATTGAAAGATGGTGAACATCGTCTTCTATATTACGCTTAGCAGAAATGGAACTCAACTGAAACGTTTATTTCTTATTCGTAAGGAGAGAATTCTTACTATCCGTTTGCCTTGGATGCTTGAGTTGTTATAGTTTATAGTGTTTGGATTCAGCCAAGGCAGTGTTATCCATGTGGAATTTTGTCTCCTCCTTTAAATGCCTATACAGGCTCTCACATGTGTGATGAATAAGTGCATCCACGTTTTTAGCTCTTTTTTGTAACTGCCAACCAGAAACTATTAAGTCCTCAACTGAATCCATAGTTTATCTTTTGTTTAATAAAACTAGCAATCAGCTGCACTGCCCTTTATGGCAGTCGTTCATGATATAATATTGATAACAACATATTGGTATAATAAACATCTTCGGGCTCAAAGTACTTTTTCTTTTAAAATGCTACTGGCATTTCTGCTGCTACAGAACTTGAGTCAGATTGTGGGAGCTGATGCAATGCACTTTATGAAACTATAGAAGAGCAGGGAAGAGAAGGAGGCGGAAGAAGAAGAAGAAGAGGAGCAAGCAGCTGTACCTAGTGGTTAATTCATTTTGCTAAATCTGAAAGAAGGACCTGGAATGTTAGAAAACTGTAGTGCCAGTTTCTGAATGAGAAAGTATTTGCAATGTGTCAATTAGCATTTTATTGATAATAATATGTTGTATATATCTCCACTAAATATTAAATAAATGCTTCCATTTCATAAAACAGCTTGCATTTATAATAATAGGACAAGCAGATTACAGGTAGTCCTCAACTTACAACAGTTTGTTTAATGACCGTTTGAAGTTGCAGTGACCCGGAATCACGTGATCCCCTTTTGTGACCTTCTGAAAAGTAAAGGCAATGGGGAAACCAGATTCACTTAACAACCATATTACTAAGTTAACAACTGTGTCCAAAGAAAAGTTGTAAAATGGGGCAAAACCCGTTTAACAAATTTCTCACTTAACCACATGAATGTTGAACTCAATTGTGGTCATAAGTTGGGCTCAATTGTTATAAGTTGAGGAGTACTTATACATAATTAGTCCTTGACTGACAACCATAATTGGGACCAAAGGTTCTGTTCTAAGCGAGCAATTGCTAAATTTAATGTCTAATTTTATGACATTTTTGCCATGTTTACTAAGCAAATCATTGCAGTTGTTAAGTAAATCATGTGGTCATTAAGCAAATCCGGTTTCCTCCATTGATCTTGCTTGCCAAAAGAAGGGCGGGAAGATTGAAAAATGGCGATCACATGACCCTGGGGCCAGCTGTCATAAATACATACCGGTTGTCAAGGGGCTCGACTTTTGATCAGGTGACTGTGGGGATGCTGTGACAGTTGTTAAGTGGAAAGACCTTTTGTAAATCACCTTTTTCACTACTGTTGTGACTCTGCATGGTGATTAAATGGAGGGTTGTAAGTCAAGGACCATCTGTAAGGGGCATGATAAGTATTTTTTTTCCAGGGGGATGTGTGTAGAAAGAAGGTCAATGAACATATTGCTCATCTGGAATAGAGATATGGGAATTTTGGACATTATACAGAAACAGAAAGAAAAGAAAAATGCCATTGTATCTCTCCCAATACAAGGCCTTATTATTGGAGTAACTCCAAACAGCCACATCTCTTTTAGCGCACTCTATAGCCGTGTTTAAGTGCTCTCTTCCAATCAATGAGCCAACTGAAAAATATGCCAGCATAAACTACCCTTAGTTGAGCTCTGTTCTGCTTCAGTAAGCCTGGTAAGTGGTGTTGTCTTTAACTATTTTAATACAAAAAAAGTGACTCTGGTTTCATTTTCACTCCCAAGGGGTGCCAGTTTCTCTGGCTTGAGAAAAAACTATCAATTGCTCTCTTGAGATGAAGAAAGGACAGACAAGTTTAGGTGTATGATAGAACAACTGATTTAACCACTTGTCAGATTGCCCAACTTACAAGTTACAGGTGCAGAGGTGTTATTGTTGTTTTGAAATACCGGTAGGAGTATTTCAAATATTTCATGTCCACACAGAACTTGACAAACAGTATGATAAGCTCAGGTCAGGCATTACATGGATACTGCTGTGGAATCCAGATTTCCTATCTTTCCTGAACCTCAACCAAAATGTCCATGAAGTGTGGTGCTTGCAACAGCCTAAAACTACATATAGGAGCTTGGTAGATGCCAACTCGATTACATCATCAGAGAAGTATATTAGATTGTGCTGATGGCAAAAACTGTGTTGGGATAAGAGGGAAAACAATACTTTAAAACTGCAACAGCCAAAAGCAACTTTAAACAGACTCAGTCTAGGTGAAGAACAAGATGAAGGCAAAGTCATGAGGACATGGCATAAAAGCTGATTACTTGAACATGTTTTTGTTACAGTTAGGGAGGAGTATGTGAGGTTGACTTTTTGTTCTTACCTGAAGGTATCAATGTCTTTCATTGAATTTATATTTTGTGCTGTTTCAATCTGCTCATCCAGGTCAGGTGGTTCTTTCCACCCCTCTAGCTTATCATTGCTCTTAATATTATCTGTAGCATAAGGTGCATTTTGTGATACCTAAAAAAAAAAAGTGACATATAATGGCATTAGAACAACAATTCATTGTGCTGGCTGGATTTAACGCAGGACAGCAATAAGCCTGCAAGGAGTGGTTAAAGTATTGGAGTGAGACTGGGATGCCAAGAGTCAAGTCTAGCTACAGCCACAGGAGCTCCCTTTGTCTCAACTCAGGGATGGAAGAAGAAATACTAAATATGTCACCTTGAGTTTATGGAGGACAGGTAGAATATAATCAGAAGAATGCTGAAGCTATAAAATTTTTTGTTTAAATTTTCCCACTATTAATCCCTTTTTTAAACAACACATTTAATCAAATGTAACACTTTCAAATACTATAGCAGCTATTTTCTAATCACTGCTTCAGCAAGAAAGGTGAGTGCATTATATATGCAATAATTTTTTCTCTTCATGTAAAGGGAAGGCAAACTACATTTTAAAGACATATAGAGGTTAAAGGCAATCAGCACATCTCTAAAAAGATGTACAAATGCAACAGGATTCCTTAAAGTAATTACCCAGTTCTGTGGTTTAGAAAAGGCACCATTATGCACATTGCCATTCCCTACTAGAAAGGCCAGTTATATTTGAAGGAGAAGAAAACAAACATAGTTAATGGGAACTTATTTGCTTTCCATCAACACGTTCTCAGTGAAAGCCTGGGGAATCAAACTAAGAAACGACTGGCCCAATTTCTATAGGATGCAGCATCACCCCCTCTCATACCTAGAATCAGAACTGTTATCACAATTCAATCAAAACAGACATTTGTGATTTAAAAGACCGCATCTATTTGTCTGTACAAAAAAAATTTCAATATCTGGGAGTTGAGTCATGGTGTTGTGGAAAAACCACAGTACTTACATCAGAAGACAAGACCACGAAGGGCTGGAGAAAACAGGCTTTATTTGTGCACAATGGTTCAGAGCATTAGCATGACAAATTCTGAACCCCGGGCTACTCCCAGGGAGTAATTCTTATAGTATTGACCACCCACGCCTTGTCCTTAGGGTGGCCCTTATCTACCTTTGACACACTAAAACAGAGAAGTTTATATCTTGAGGCTACACAAGGAAAAAGGAGAAGTTCACACAAACGGTTGTCCTACCACACCTCTCTACACGGGTAATACAGTATCTTACACCATCTATGACTTTCAGTTGACGCTTCTTGTAAAATGGTTTCTACATAGCATGAGCACATCTTTATAGTAATGACATTTATAGTAATGACACACAGGTTATATTATTAAGGTTATATTATTCAGCCAAGTTTAATATTACCTATTACCTAAAGTTTATTGTGATTAGTTAAAAACAGCATCCAGCATTTCTGTTAATTAAGATATATTTCTTATGATTTTTTCCTGTCCACCTCAATGGCAACTGGACTTTTTTTTCTCATTAGTCTGAAACAACAAGAAAAGAAAACCAGTTGCCATGATTCAGTTTCCAGACAACTTTATCTGGATGACTGAGAATCTTCATCATCTTTCAATATGTTTCCCAGTGTAAGCCATTTTTTCCAAGAAGCGCTTGTTGATGATGTTGTGAGTATTTGGTTTCTCTTTTTATACATTCATGTCTTGAGCCATTAGATTCTCATTTGATCAATCACTACTTGACTATTTGTCATTTACTGATTACATCCATGTTTCTTATCCTTCTCTGTCTGTGACTACATGTGGCTTATTTAATACTCACATATTTTACCAAAAACAAACCCTAATTTCAGCCTGTTACAAATGTAGGTCTGAAATCTAATAGCAAAAATTAGCATTGTCAGCAACTGGCAATGAGCAACTATTACCAGATGTCCTCAAAATCATATCAGAGACTATTCCCCCCCCCATTTTAAACTATTAGCCCAGCCAGAACTTCAGCTAAGACAGGATCTATCATAGATAGAGCATATTATGCTTAACAATAGAAAGGTAGTCTCAGAAATTCACTGGATGGCTTTCAGGTATTCTTTATGACAGTTATATGCGAAGAAAACTGCTGAGATTCATTTAATCATGATGGGATATAAAAGAGAGAGAGAGAGAAGTGATGGACATGCTCATCATTTTGAAAAGAGTGTACGGTATTAATGGTGTTCAAAAATCATACTCTTCAGGGATATGCCAATCACTGCTTCATTTCTCACATAAATTAAAATCATGCAAGAATGGAAACAAGCTCCTTGGAGCACTGAATCAATGCAACTAATTGACCTTGAAATTTTATTGTAGAGCAAAACATTTCAAAAACAATCAGTTGTTAAGAATGCCAATTAATAAAATCCGTTCTTCTATTAAAACCAGTCTTTATGATTTGATCCCAAATTGTGTGTAAATTAAAGATGATTGGAGCTCTTGGATGGATCACTGATATGGGGAGTGCGTAGAGTTCATGTTCCTCTCTTTTGAGTTTCTACTTAATTCAGAAGACAATTTCTGTAACTTCCTCAATAGATCTCATTTCAAGTTGTGTGAAAACTGTTCCAGATGAGTAGACTTTTCTGAAACCTCTTACAAAGAGTGTCAGTTTTAATGAAATGACATTTGTCAATGCTCTCCTTTCTAAAACCTAAAGTTAATTATATCCAATTTCCAATGCAATTTTTCTGAATTGCATAGCATCTTTGACAGCTGTATGACATAAATAAGCATGCATGGAGAGCAGTATGATGGCTTGTCTGAGTGACATCATGCATGCGGCTGTGCAAAGATGGCATGCTCCCCTGGAATTTGCTCTGAAAGCTGTTGCCTTGGGAAACAACTCATGGTCCACACTTTGGGGGCTGAATTGCTAATAACATTCATGAATTATGACATATAACAATGTAAAATCAGTTTGAAGCTTATAAAATGCCTATTGTATTTTATTTGTTTATTAAATTATACCTGCCACTATACATGGAATCTTGGCTATTAACCAGAGATGTATGGGAATCAACAGTATAAAAGTGCTTGCTTCAGCAACACATAAACTAAAACTGAAATGATACAGAGAATAACGTTGCCCTTGCACAAGAATGGCATGCAAATTCATGCAGCATTCCATATTTTTTCCCCAGGATGCATAGGACAAATTAATACCTTCCTGCTACAACATACAGTTTTGCCAGATTTTGCGGGGCAGCAATTAAAATCCGTGAGATGTGATGATGTGTGCCTCAAACCAGCCTGAATATTTGACTTGTTAGCTAAGAATGTTTTGTATTATGATACATTTAGTTAGCCATATATTAATTCTTGTTAGTTTATATTTATTTAATATTTTTATCCCATTTAGTAGGTTTTTAATGTGTGTGTGTGTGTGTATATATATATATATATATATATATATATATATATATATATATCTATCTATCTATCTTTGGTTATTCGGGTTTTCTCCCACGTAAAATTGGAAGTGTCTTGGCGACGTTTCGATGAAGTCTCATTCGTCATCTTCAGGCTGGTGCTTTCGGCTTCGTGCTTCTAGAGCAATGTGTGATTGTAGCTGTTTCCTCCTTTTAACTGCCAGTGGGGCTATGAACTGATTGGATGAGAGCTTGGCTGTGTTCTGATTGGATGGAGGTGTGTTCTGATTGGTTAGGAGCTTGGCTGTGCTCTTATTGGCTGGGGGGTTGGCTGTGCTCTGATTGGCTGGGGGGTTGGCTGTGCTCTGATTGGCTGGGGAGTACCAGCCATTTGGAAACCCGCCCTTACTGACAAACGACTCCTTAACACAAAAAATGACACCAGACCCACACTCACAAAAACCACACAGGATGTCACCACCACACATCCATGCAAAAAGCAAACCCAAAGCCACACCGATGATGAGGCATGACCAAAAACCAGAAGCCAGACCACAGCTGCATCATTAGCCACTTTAAACCCCTCCAATCCATACATGAAGCAAACTGACACCCACCATGAAGATGAGGCACGACCACGAACGCGAAGCCAAAAAATAGCAATGCAGTTCACCATTTTAAACCCCCTGCAACTCAGACTAACCTGAGCACAACAAAGCCCCCACCCAAACAGAACACTCCCCCAACCAATCAGAGCACAGCCAACCCCCCAGCCAATCAGAGCACAGCCAAGCTCCTAACCAATCAGAACACACCTCCATCCAATCAGAACACAGCCAAGCTCTCATCCAATCAGTTCATACCCCCATTGGCAGTTAAAAGGAGGAAACAGCTACAATCACACATTGCTCCTAGAAGCATGAAGCCGAAAGCACCAGCCTGAAGATGACAAATGAGACTTCGTCGAAACGTCGCCAAGACACCTCCAATTTTATGTGGGAGAAAACCCGAATAACCAAAGACCTACATACAAACACCCGCGAAAACCTCAGAAAACATATATATATGGTTTTTAAAATGTTTTACATTGTTTAGTTTTTAAAATTGTTTGAACTCTACCCTTCTTATGCTGGTCTATGATCATAATAAAGATTTCATGGATTGATAGTACAATAAAAAACTACAAGAAAAATACAAGAAAACACTCAAAATATAAAGTTAAAAATTGCAAAATGAAATAAAAGATCAATAATAATAATAATAAAACAGCATTTTTAAAAAATCCTATTCAGGCCCTCTGAAACAATTCAAATGTAAAAGCTTATAGAAAGCCAATAAGATAATAGGCATTATTAGCAATATGAGGAACTATAGCCAGCTGCCTGCCTTTCCTTTTACCCAGTAGATTGCTCAGCCTTAAAATAAGTAATTAAACTAAAAAAACTATCTATAAGCCATTACTGGCAAAAAATAAGAGAATTCTATAAACTGCAGTTATAAACACAAACAGCAAACAAACAAAACCCCTCATTTCCAGAATTTCCTTTTATTGTAATGACTCTATTCTTATGAAAATACATCAATAGGAAGTCTAATCATTTCTACAAGAAGAAAAACTAATGGTAATTCTCGGTATTAGAAGGAAAAGAATTATCAAAAGTGGAAGGCTAATGATGCCAAAGGACACAACGAATCCAGGCTCCCAGAACCTAATCTCTATCTCATTATCTATCTGCTGAGCCCTGTTGTTGCTTTTAAAATCAGACAATAGCCCACCTAGTGTGGTCATCTTTACAGAGAAGAGATCTGCACTTCAAAGCACTCTCTGTCTGAAGAACATGTCAATTCACTGGATTAAAAAAAAAAAAATCCTTTTTAAAGTTGATACAAAGCAAGGGGATTTAGAAAACCAGGCCTATTCTGTTGCTAAGGGATTATCCAAACTAAGCAGTTATATATTTCATCTGTTAACATACTTCTCCTTATTGCAAAATTTATTACATATCTATTGATTCATTTTGTTCTAAATTCACACCCAGGTATACAAATTGGCCTACATACATTTTCTATAATTTATTGTCCTTTTTAATTTTGGGGAGAAGAATGACCCCGTGTGGAGGAGGGGCAGCCTGCTTTTACCCTGTACTTGACTTTCTAATAGTAGATATCCAAGAAGCAGATTTCCCTTTATTTGGGTTAGCCGTTTTATTGTGCTTAGTGGTAAAGATACTACTTTCATATTACAGCTTACCCTTTGTAATACAACATTTAGAATATGAGCTGGGGGTAAGGGATAACCACAAGGCACATAGCTAACCAATGTATTTGTTTATATAATGTCACAATAATGAAGTAGAAAATTCAGATAGGACATTGACCTCTGAATAATTTCTAAAGTCCTTGCTCTTCCTAATTTGCTGTAAATCAGCTCACTGTTTCCAAAACAGCCTTAAAGATAATGTCAATGACATTCCATTTAGAATCCAGCCTTTATCGGTTCTTATCAGATCACAACTCTTCAAAATATTCATGTTTATTTTTAGGATAAAAATGATATGACAACATTTTAGCAAGAAAATCTTCTCATGTAAATAAGTAAAGAAATTGGAATTTTGTTTACAGCTTTGTATATGCTTTCAGTCCTAGCATGCTGGAAAGATCTACCTGTTTTAATAAAATGGTAAACGTTAAGCAGTCTTTTCATGGCTGTTAGAAAACATTCGAAATGAACAGTATAAACACATCTGCTTTTGTGTTTTCACTGTCTTAAATGAGACTGGAAAATGAAGGTCTTTTTCATGCTAACTAAAAATAAGGCAAAACCTGCCTGCATGTTAACTATGGTCTGATACTTTTCCATGTACCAATAAAAGAGTATGTTTGGAGTTCAGGGATGAATTGTGGCACACTTGGTGCTCAATAAACTTGGTTGCTTTCTTGCAGATGTTTCCTGACCAGACCTTGGCAAAAAACCAACCTTAGAAAGCATCAAGGTCTCCAAACTTTTCATGTTTTCCCAATAATAGTTACACAATAAGTATCATACAAAAATGCATTACTTGGATAAACTTCCCAAGTATATGTGTGTGAGATATCGGAAAGGGTTTTGAGAGGGTATATAACTCAAACAAGACTATATGCACTTTTGCAGAAGAAACAGCAGGAGTATCCCAAAGAATCAGGTCACCATGTTTATTACAGATTTCACACCTTGGCCAGTTTCAGGCATATCCAATATGAGTTACATAAATAAACATGAATATATAAAAGTAACTTTTGTTGAGCCAATATTTTGTATCACAACTTCCAGAATTTGCAGCCCAAGACAGCTAGAAGACACTAAGTTGGAGACAATTGACAAAAGGATCAAAAGTCAATCTTTTTTATTCTTTCCAAAGCAATAGAATGTTGGAAAGAAACTATGTGAGGGGGCTCAGAACTGTGAAAACAGGATAGGTTTCCTGAAACAGGAATAAATTTGCTATGATGGTACAAACAAACACAAGAAAATAGTTCAAATATGATCTGGGTTATACTAAGGGCTCCAAGTAAAAACATTCAAAAAAAAATTTCCCCAGTACATTCCATAAGAATGTTTCTTATGGAAACATTCTAATTTCAGAATGCTGTTGATTGTGCCATTCTAAGCTGTCTTCCTTCTTTTCTCTGGTTATGTGACCTTAAGTAGCATGGATATAATTTCCCCTATGCATGTTGATTTTAGGGTGCTTAACTGCATTAAACTTTTCAAAAAGTAAACCAGTTGTGCAGGGATGGTGGGGTGTGTATAGAATGTCTGAGGCAGAGTTTCAGAAATATCTACAGCACCATTCCTTTTATCTCCTTTCCAAATAAACATTTCAAAGTTGTTTTCTTATCTGAGATGCTGATTGTATTCTCCATAGAGATTACTAGATTGCTCAATAAATATTAGATTCCCTGAATTTACTCATTAAACTTGGAATAACTAGAAACTCAAGCATAGCCCAGAAATTTTCATAGTCCATCAAGACCAATGGTCAATCTGGGAGGCATCTACTGTCTAAGGAAGCTACCAATTTGCAACTCTACAGGGTTTCTGCAACGAGTTGTGAGGTTTTGAATTCCAATGGATACGTGCTGACATTCTTAAGGCAGATATGCTTTCTACAGCCTCACAATCAAAGAGCTACAATTATTAGGGCTGTGTGATTGATTGGGAGGCAAAAAGATGTGGTGGACTGGTTGGAGATATCAGTGCAATCTATCTGCAACTTCATAAACAAATGAAATACCTTTTTGTGAAAGAAATAGGGAAGGTAACCAACTGGAGGCATTATGTCTTTCAGTTAGTTTGTAGCTTTCCTTCAAGTGAGTCTCTGTTCTGACCTGGATGAATCTTAAATAAGTCAGCTGAACCTTGAGGCTTAACAGTTGTATTGATGCAACATATTAAGCTTGGCTAGTTTAACATTAGCGGGTTTTTAATTTTCCAGGTAGTGTGTTTAACTGGTTTATGATGCAATATTTTGAGCAAACCCAGAAGATGGATTACTTCAGTATCCAAGTCAGATGTTGTAAATACCACTAATGAATGACTATTTATAAATAGATTCTAATTCTGAATTTTGCAAGGAAATGTCATACGTTTTAGAGAATAAGTTGCTCATCAACATTTCCCTCCCATTAGTTGTTATAATGAAAGTTTTATAGTAAAAACAATGGAACTTAGCTAGAAGAGAGTGGCATCTTTTCTGGAAACAAATCTAAAAACTTTTTAGGCACT